ATGTTAGATATTATGTTCATTACTTTTTATTGGTTAGCATGTGTCTGAAGAAAGAAGTAAAAACCATTATTTTTTATCTGTGTCCTTCATGAGTCCTTCCATGAATAGCCATTCTCAATGATGATTTCCATTAAATGCCATATGTGTGACATTCTCTTTCCAATGTAACACTTCTTGGAATTAGAAAGATTGCATAAGCAGGCCCATCCATGATCTTCTAAAAAAAGGTGGCATGTTTGACTCTTCCTCTTTTATCAATGTGTCTAAAAATGCCTATCAAAAAAGAAAAAGTCATGTTTCTATAAAACAGATGTTTCCTGTGCTGTAATAGCTTTAGAAAACTTACTGTTCTAATTTGTTTTCATATAGTCAGCTGACCATAAATGTAACTTTTTTTAAAATTAAAGTTGTATTAAAGTGTATTTATGTTTATGCATACACATACATTATATTCAAGTATACATGTGGATACACACAGACTAATTTAAGATGGTTTTCTTACAAAAATCTGACTGTGACAGAGGTAAGGGTTTGGCTGCTGATCATTTAGCTTTTCTTTTGGCTTTTTTCCCAGCAGTCAACACTGGAAGACATAAGTACCTGAAGTAGGTTGAGCAGTGTGTTGTAGGTGTTTCTCCAGTGTTGTATTTGTGTTTGTTAAATTTTGTAAATATTTAGGATATAGCTGTGTTTAGCATATATTATAAGTGAAAAATATATAGGCTGTTGTTTAAAATGAACAGCTGTGAGGGCATGGATTTTATTATGTTGCTTCAGTTGGATGCCGATGTGCTGTGTGTTTGTATTTACAAAGGACTGTTAGGAGACACTCAGAGCTGATCACAAGTTCAACTGCAGTGTATTATGACTGAAGATGAAAGCTGGACTCCAAGAGGCTCTGTAAAATGTGTCCTGAGATTGAAGTGTTTACAGAGTCCTCAACCACTGCAGGGTGATTCTCATTCCCAGAAGCTAACCTGTGCTGAGTTTAGCTGTTTTGTTTTCCCCAGACTTTGCAAAGCCATTTCACAGATGGTAACTTCTCTATGAAGTAAGTAAAATCTATACTGCTGTAAGAGGCTCTGTGTGAAATAAATTTATTTTTTATTTTTAAAGAATAGAAAAATAAATATTGTGGTGTTTTTGAGTGTCTGTGCTCCCATGATGTATTTACAGCTGTGTGTAGCTCTCGTTGCTTTGTAAATTCTCATTGGATTTATTGCTTCCAACTTACATAAAGTTTTCTGAGTTACTTCATCCCCTGAACACTTTGTGTTGCTGCTGTGTGTTGTCGTGTAATACCTCAGATAAGTATCTCATCACAAATTACGAATTGTTGGCAACATTTGTCAGTAGGAAATGGAAGCTGCCCTTAAATGGGTCTTTTCAAACAAACTGAAAATGTACAAAATTTAAAGATAAAATCATATTGGGGTCAGACCACTGGTTAATGTAAATCTGCTTGCAGTTGCTGACGTAAATTGGAAAATGCTGATTTACATCATCAGAGAATGTGGCTGGTGAAATGAAAATAAAGGGGTTAGGGGGCTAGTGATACTGGTCTCTTAATGTAAGCACAAACTTTCACCCAAGACCCTTTGTTGTTAATATGTAACTCTACAGTGCCAGAGGGGTCAGGCTATTCCAGACACTGCAACATTGTGGTGCCTCCTACAAACATAATAGGAGCAGAACTATGTATTCTTTAATTAAACCCAGGACCAGGTCTTCCGCTGGGATGGTTTAGTGGAACTCCAAATACTTCAGAGGAACTAAACTGATTTACTGTGGCTGAGCACTTGATCTTTTATTAATGTATACTTCTGTATTTTGAAGTTAGGTACCTTGCTTTTCACAACCACAAATAGCTTAACATTGATCAGACAGAAGTTATTCTAACCTCTATGAACAGAACAGTCAGATTAATGAGAAGAGGGGTGTATAGCATGGAAGTGGTGGGCTTTTTCTTTTTTTAATCACAGTGTAGTGTGATCTTCATAAAACATGCTGTCAGAGCATGCTCTGATTTTTGTAGTTTCACTTTATCAAATGTAGTTTTGCACTAACATATTCTCTTCATTTTCTTTTAATAAAGAAGGTACATTGATTTAAACAGGCTTGGATAAACAATGCAAGTTGACATTTTGTTCCAGTTTAGGCCATGTTTAGGTTGAGTAGACAAATACTTAGTCTTGGCCCAAGCTGGTCCAATGTTCTAATCCCTTGCAGTCTGCTTGTTTAATAACAAACCTAAACTTGTATAAGGCTGCAGAAGGCTGTCGGAAATATTGATCCTCAGAGAGAAATCCAAAATTCCAAGTTGATGCTTCAGTTTCTATTATTGGCAGAAATACAGTCCTCCAAATAATAAATGACCTCTTAACCTCTGTCAGGTTATTGTTTTCTCCAGGGTTTGGTGACTGGGCTACATGAAATCGCTTGATGGCCTTCTGAGGAGCCTATACCAAAATTATTGGTTTTAGCAGCCTGCAGGAACAATTAAGTAATAGGGTCCACCTGGTACTATCCTTAAGGGCCCCTTTATGCTTAGTGAATACTTTCTAGCTTTCTAGAACTCTAGCTGTTCCAGTAAGGTGTGGAGCACTGGAATGTGAGTGTTGCAGACTGCATCAGAGAACTTAGCCTGATGGAATGTTTGGAGAGACTGGGAGAGCTCGAGCAGCATAAGTGAGCATCAGGAATGGATGTGGAATCAACTTTTATTTTTACAATATTTATGTATTGGATATTTTACAGGGGATTGTCCTGGCAACCTACCAGCTACAAAGAAAGGTGTAAGGGCATCCAAGATTCCGTAACTCCCATTTTGTGTGCAACCTGTGTTTGGAGCCTAAACATTAGGACCTGATGCTATGGAAGTAAATCAGTATTGTCTTGTCCTCCAGTAGCATAACCCTTAGAAAGTTAACTTTTTTCCCCCTGTATGCTGAAGCTCTTTATTAGATTGTTTACACTGAGAAAAGAACCCTTTTAATGGCTGACACCAGCAATATAAATGTTTTCAGATGTTGAAGCTTAAGCTGTATTTTTGTTTCTTTTCCAGTAAATTTTCGTTTCAAATTTTGATGACATAAATGACCAGGTATGCTCTGAAGAGTATGCTTCAAATGTTTCTTCAAGAATGGCTGAGTTCCTAAGTTATCTGGCAGTTCCCAAAAAATGTCTGCCTCTCCTAATGAGCTGTATGATAACAACCTCTTACTCTCTTTCCAAGCCTGTAGTAGTATGTGTGAATCTCTCAGATCATGCTGGAATTAACAGCAAGACTGTGAACTGCAGTTACCTTAGGCATTAGTGTACAACTAATGTACAGTCTAGTACAAAATTTCTCTTTGTATGAAGCCAAAACAAGCATGCAACTACAAAACAGATCTTAAGGAGTAAATGCAAATGGCTTGTGAGATGCTTGCATTAAGGGAAGGTCCCCAGCCATGCCAGGAGTCTGCTTCCCAGTCTGGTCTGCAAGCAATACTGGCACAATGCAGTAGTCACATCTTCCTTGCTGTCTCTCCTCTTTTAGATGTCTCTGGCTAAAATATCCCTTTGAACTGAGCTTCAAATCACCATGCCCTTCTGGGGTTGATTGCATCTGTTTAGTCTTTTTAGTCTATGTAGCTGTGCAAAGGCTGATTCTGCCTTTCTCCCTCCATGACCACTGTGGGCTTTTTGTCCTCTGAGTCTCTCAAAAAAAAAATGTTTGAGAGGGCTACACAGCTCACAAGGGCATTTGAAAAATGCAAGAAGTTGAAGTGAGTTGAATTCAGAATAAATATTCTTTTTCAGCAGACACTGAAAGCAGATTTTGTTCAACATATTTACTTCTTGTATTTTACTTGAAATGATTGTACACTGAGTGCCAGTATTGCTTGGTTGAGCACCTTTCTTTTCAGTGTACACAAGAGAAAGATCTGTAAAGAATTCCAGTCATTGCTAAATGAGTTTGTATGAAAATCCAAGCAAAGACTAAAAGCACAGGAGTTCAGATAATTTCCCAAAAATTAAATAAGAAGTACTGGGTAATTTATCACTGAGGGTGGTAAAACTGCAACATACCATGTCATTAGACTGCTTTACACAGTGACTGGAAAATTGCCACTTTAAATAAACTTTGTACATCTATTTGAAAGCATGTCTCTCTACGTGCTGGCTATTTAATCCTTTAAGCTTTTATGGTTTTTGTTTGGTTTTTTTTTTTAGAAATGTAGACAACTTGTTAATGCATGTACTGTAGCTTTTGAATGTTTGGCTATAACACCTTATTTTTATTTGCTAATGATGAAGAATTAAAAAAAATCTTCCTAATGATTTTGGAGTTTGGGTTTATCTTTTTCCTTTTTTTAACTTTCTGTTTAGAATAGCAACATTAATGTTGATCTCAATTCTGTGTCTGTTCAAAAGAGTACAGGGAATAAGGTTGAGAATTAAGTAGCATATGTATTATTCTGAAGGCAAAAAATCTGCACTTCACCTAACTTTTGAGTCACTGCTCTAAAATGAGCAAAGTATTCAGGAACCTTTATAAATTACTGATAGATTTGTATTAAAGGCCTGTACAAGACCAAAATTATAATAGCAAGACCAAAGTTATTATAACAGCAGAGAGATCTAGAAATGGCATTTATTATTAAAAAGAGAGGATAGTTAAATTGCCTGTGCTATGGTTATAAGCAATAAAGACTAAGTGCAAACAGCATTTGGGGGTATCTCTTTGGGTCTGTAGGACAAGCAAAGATGTCCATACAATTCTGTCCTCTCAGTGCAGACCATGTATTGTTCCCTGGTGCATATGGTGGTATGCTGTGCTGTGGTTGTTATTCATCACACACATAAACCTGCAGCAAGTAATTGTGTGTGCTATGTAGAAGGTAAAGCTGGAATGGAATAAAGTGCATGCTTTAAAGACATAATGGTGGGTTTCACAGTCAGTTTTTCTGTCTGTGAAGACTGCGTAATTTCCAATTCTTATTTTGTTCTTGCAGGTCAAGCCAGTCACTCACAGTAGAATCACCGCATCAGCACGGTTTCGAAAGCCTCTCCAGGAGCCCTACACTATTTTGTGAGTAGGATTTTCGCTTAGCAGATTGCCATTTCAGGGGTGATGGTGGCAGTGTGTTCACTTCAGGTGAGCTTCATTTAAAATGCTCCTCCAAGTTATTTTACTTTGCTTTATTTCAGCCTGATTGCTAATGGAGACCTTATTAGCCCTGCAGTACGCCTCCTCATTCCCAGGAAAACACTGAATCACTGGGATCATATTCTCGAAATGGTTACTGGAAAAGTTACTCTCAGAAGTGGAGCTGTTCACAGGTATAAGGAAGCTGAATATTTGCAAGATACATTTTATATGCCTAGATATATTTCTAAAATTCCATAGTTAGATATATCGGATAATTCCTATTTTATGGTAAGTTTCACTGTAAGAAAATTAAAATATGTCAAAAAGCCACAAAATGGAAACATGTTGACTCCAAGTAACCTTCAGGTTTCATTTCAACTGCTATTAAAAAAAAGACGAACTGCAATTTGCTTAAGCTGTTAATTTTAAATTAATATTAATGAATTAACTATTTAGTTAGCAGGCCTGTAATAATACAATACTAATGCAATACACTTAGTACAAATAATTAAGTTACATGTCATGATAAAATAAATGAGCATGGTGAAGTTGGTGAAGATGTTTGGAATGTGAGAAATATATGATTTGTGTTACCTTTTAATTTTGATAGTTCTTTAAATTCATTGGGGCAAGCAATTTCAAGGAAAATATAATAGATTCTTTGGGGTTTGTATACCTGGGCCAAGACTAGGATGTGCTTCATATTCAGCTCTCAGCCTCTTAATAAAAGCTTATTAAAAGCCAAGGCAAAAGTTGGTGTTGGGGTTTGCCCATTCCAGTATCTCGCCTGGTCTGAGTTGTTGTGATATCCAAGGAGTAGGAGGTGACCTATTGGGTAGGTAGGTTTCAGTCCCTTAAAGTTTTTACAGTGTGAAATAAGTTACCTAAAATGGCATTTGGTAGTTGTTGCAAGTTTTAGAGCAAAATCATAGATGTGATGTCCGTGAGAAACACAGCCATGTAAGTGGGCTGTCAAGGTGTGCAAGCAAATTATTGACATTCCAGTGTTGCCCCATGCAGAGCACATTACAGAAATCTCTTCATCAGATGGGAAAGGACCTTTTGTGGAAAATCATTCTTCAGAGCCTATGCAATGTCTGAGGCTAAGTTTGCAAAATCTTTCTCAAAACAGTGAAGATAAGGCAGTCTTTTAGTTCTTCTGCTTGCTTTCCTGTTTGATATGGGTGAGAAAAGATTAAGGTAATGCTCTTGAATATTAGCTCTCAAATTTTTCCTCTCAGCCCTGCACTTTTTTGCTCCTATTAGCTGGCTACTTAGGACTTTCACTCGCAGTAAAGTAAACCTGTATGTGTTGAAGGTTTCTGGATCAGCTGGTTTCTCAGCTAGTGTAATTCAAAAGTGAACAAAGCTAGAAGAGACATTTACAACATACCAATTCTTTCTGCTCTCAGGTTGTTTAGCAATTTAAAAATCTTTCACATTTTATTCTCATTACTTGGTGTCACTCTGGTGAAACTGAATGTTGTGCATGAAAGCATTCAATATATAACTAAGATTCCTTTTGAGACGTTCCCTTCAGTGCTCATATTTAATCCTTAAAAATAAGATAATGTACATGACATTTTTAATTATTTAATGCTCTTCCCTTGCTGGTTTTCTATTAACTCCATTTGCACTTCTTTTTCATTTTAATTTTCTTTTCCTTAAAATTTTAGAAATACATATTAGTAAAGTAATCGTAGTTTTCTAGTAAGTTACACATTACTTGCTGAGTTTTACTGAAACTATGTTAGCATTAGGGGAGATTTGGTAAAACCACTGATGCTGGGAAGACAAAATTTCTCATTAAAGAAGGATAAGTGGACTTACAAGAACCTGAAATATGTACATGGCAGCTTTTTCTTTTCCATGTTATTAAAAGACTTAAAAAGCTACCAAGTCATACAGCTTCACATGGGGCTTTTAAAAAAGAAATGATTGATCACCCTGATCAGAATAGGGATGCAAGCAAGAAATATGAGAGGGGAGATGATAGGAAAGCAGCTTTTCTGCTTGCCAGGTTGTTGGTGGGGATGGGCTGCAGCAGGATGGGCAGGTACCTGGTGCATTAGCATGTGGAAATTTGGGATGTTGTCCCAGAAATTGTGTCTTTGCTGTCTCCCTTTGTCAGCCTGTATGCTTGCTTTCTTTTGGCTGTCACTTTTTAGCTTGGATACAGGAGGGAAAATGGAAATCCACTGACATCTCACAAGGCAAACCTAGGTCATCCTCATAAGAGGTGACTATGAGGATATTTTTGTTACATTATACAAGCCAGAGAGAACCCAGCTGATGTGTGGATGGTTGTGGCAAAGTGGGTGGGTGAAAATTGTGGCTTCAAAATTCAGAAATTGTAAAAACATAGCTTCAGAAATTAGTGTCACAAAATTTGCATATGCTTGTTAAGTCAATTTAGTTATTTGTTTGAATATCCATTTTTAAAAAATGTGTTTTGATTTCACTTCCATCTTCAGAGACTGATTATGCTTGATTTTGCTCTTGTGATTATTATTTTCAGGATGAAAAATGCAGTTAAAGATTGCCAGGTAATCTGTAACATTTTTTTGAGTTGTATTAAACAAACAACTTCTGTGCTTTAAATATAACATTAAAGCACAAGCAAAACAAAAGATCAGGAAAAAAATAGCACCCAGTTATTTTGAATGTACCCCTCTATATCTGCAGCCCCATACAAATATATAAATAATTCCTAAGCTGTGGTACACTTCATTTGCTGTTTTTTCCCCTGAGTTCCCAAAGCAAAGTGCAATCTAGCAGAACACAGTGAGATTAATTCAGAAATAGGCTTCCTGCTGATTTTCCGATAGCTTGTTTTATTTTCATTATTTGTGTGTAACTGATGTTGACTCTGTGGTAGTGAAACATAAATTGCTCTTTGAATTGCTGGCATGCCTGTGGAATGTTTACACTATGAAATAAATATGAGTAATACAAATGAGGCTCTCCAGTTAGCATACCTCTTCTCAAGGAAGCAGCAATGTGATCTAGATTTAAAATAGCTGCAATTTCACCTTTCAAAATTTTCAGCCTTTGCACGTAGAAACATGTTCCCATGTGGCAGGAGACACAGAAAATCAAGGTACCTTCACAAGGGTAATACAAGAAAGATGTGGACATGCTGGAACAAAGGGCTGCAGAGAGGAAGGGCTTGAGGATACTTGTGGTGTGAGGAGAGCTGGGACTCTGCAGCCTGAGAAAGAGAAGGCTCAGGGGGATTTTTTAAATGTGTGTATATACCTGGTGGAAATGAGTGAAGACGACAGAGCCAGGCTCTTTGTAGTGGTGCACAGTGAAAGGGGGAAATACAGGCAATTTCACTTGAACAAAATAAAAAAGTAATGGTCATCATATAGTGGAACATGTTGCCCAGAGAGGCAGTGGAGTCTCCATCTTTGCAGATGTTTAAAACATACCTAGAGACAGTCTTGAACAACCTACTGTAGTTGTTCTCACTCTGCAAGGCATGATTGGACTAAGTGGTCCTCAGAGATCTTGTTCAGCCTCAGGTATTCTGCGATCCCTGGTTCAGTAAAGTGCATGATTTTCTTCTGTGTTTGTTCAAGGTTATGCCACCATATATATATCAATTTTAAAAGCTCTTTCGCTATTAAACTGAAAATTTATGCACATTATAAGTCAAGTGTGTACTCAAGGCAGCCTCTTGATATTGTTCCCCAAATGTTCATTGAACTGATGCCTTGAGAAGTCAAGCATCAGTATGGTTGTGTGTATTTTTTTGTTGACTTTTAAATTAAATATAAATATTGTTGAGTTTCGAACTCTACTTTGTAGGAAAGAGCTAATTTATTGTTGAATGTTACTTCTTACTCACTGTTTTGACCATACTAGAATAAAATCACAAACTTGACAAGAAAGTAAATTCCCCCAACCAGTCCCTGATGCATTTCTTTCTTCTCAAAAAAAAGTTATTATGGTAAAAATACACCTGGTGTAATAGGCTTAGTCATTATTGGTAGGTGCCCAGGATACATGCTTCTTGGTTTAATGTAGTACTGTATTTCCTGTTATTCCCACCAGGTTCCAACATTCTGATCTGCACAATATAACAGTATAAGTGCAATATTATTGGCATGGTATGCGTTAGGTGGACAAGACTTTCAGTCATGAACGCCCTGTTCTTCTCAGGATGCTGCATAGTTCCCTGAGCAAAGATAGAATGTGAAACTTGGTAGGAGAGGGGGTCAGGAACTCATGGAATAGATTCCTTCCAAGGTAACAGGGAAAAGGTATTGAAGACCTTAGAAGTATAAAGTAATCTATTTCTTTCTAGAAATTATGACAGTATTTAATCTATTATAGCACTTCATACTTAGTTTTATATAAACTGTGACTTAAGTAGTTATTTTGCTGTTTTTCCTTGGCAGTTTGTTTGTTTTATTTTTTTTCTTGGATTTTAGGTTGGTTGGTTGGATGTTGTTTTTTTTTAAAAAATGTAGTTACTGATTATTGTATGGTGTCCACTGTACTTTATTTGGTTTCATGTCTGGAAATTCAACATATATTTAGTGAGTTTAGATTAACATAGCTTTCAATGCTCTTAATGCATTAACAATGTTAAGATTTATTAAAATAGGCATTTTTGTATTTTTCAGGCTCTACACTGTAGATGGAAAGCTTGTTCAGAATGGGTCAGACTTGGAGAATGGGCAAATTTATGTTGCAGTGGGTAGAGAAAAGTTTAAGAAATTGCCTTATGGTGATCTGCTGTCCAAATCTACAACGAGAAGGCCACAGGGGTATGTTCTAGAGATGTGTGATGCTTCTCCTGTGTTTGTGTGTATCAATTTGTTTACAAAGTGCCACTAGTAATGTACAAAATTATTAGTCCAAGAATGATGCATGGGTTAGTATGGATGCTAAACTTCATTGGCAGCTTCTGAGAAAGTTGAGATAAAAATATGAAAAGCAAAAATGGAAATTCAGAAGACCGGTTCACGTCATAAGCATTCCCTTGATAATGTATCACAAAATTAGCATCAGAGAAGAATTAATCCAAGTCAAAGTAATCCTGTTTGGTTTTTTTTTTTTTTTTTTTCTTTTTCCTTGTGATACAAATGTGTACAGCTGAATGAGATTATGTGCAGCTACAGCAGTTTAGGTCTACTCTTGCTTAGTAATGTTTTGTGAAACATGTACTCCTTTAAGTTTGTTTTATGTTTGGGTCTATTTGTTGTAGGCTAGAACAATCACATAATAGAGTCCTAAACTGGGTGTCTGTGAGGAGAAACTTTTGCTTTTTGAACCTTTGGAAAAAATGGAAGTTTGGAACCATTTCATTGAAATAAATGGAAAGAAATGGAAATTGTTAGGAGCACTCACATAGTAATTCACTGGATGCTGCTCTGCAATATTTTTTGGAATATAAAGTATGCATTGTGGGGTCATGCATTTGTTTGAATAAGTTAATGATTATGCATTTAAGCATAGTCTAGTACACAGAATGAGTGATCTTAGTGAAAACACACTGAAAAAAGCAATTACCTCTGTTACTGTAGCCACCTTGGTGTTATCTGACTTGATTATAGATACATAGTGTCTGTGCCAGTGCCAGTGTACACAATTCTAAGATTTGGCTTATTTCTGCAGTTCCAAAACCTCTGTACTACCTCCGATTGTGGGATCTCGAAAGTCTAAAGGCAGTGTAAGTATTGAATTTCTAATTCAGCTAAATTCTGGCAGATGGAAAGTCCCTGTCCTTTGGGCTCTCTGAAGAGAAGAAAATCCACAGCCACCTGGTGGCATGCTTATTAGAGCTTGATGAATCTGTAGCTATTTGCAATGACAATTAGACAGAAGAAATCTGAGGAAATATTGTTGTGAAAAGGGCTGCTTTGTTTTTTATAAAAGCTTCCATAGCAAAGATCAGCTGCTGGCTTGAGGTCTTTCCTATAAACCTGATCACATATATTTGTGTATTTCTTTATTTTTTCAAATTATATACCTAAAGAAAAAAGACAGAACCTTTTACCAAACATTTTGCAGAAAATTGTGTTTCTGAACGCTGAGTCTGAAAACTGATTTGGTTGCAAACTGGCCCTAAGCCAGTTTGCAATCTGATATGTTTTATTCGAGGTAACCACTTTATACAGAGCTTGATCCTTCACTGCTTTGTATCCTGCATAGCTATTTTTATGTGTACAAAATGAGTCATGGAACCATTAAGGTTGGAAAAGACCGCCAAGGTCATTGCGTTCAATCTCTGACCTATCACCACCATGTCAAATAAAGCATAGCACAAAGTGCTACATCCATTTGTTTCTTAAACACTTCCAGGAATGGTGACTCCACCACTTCTCTGGGCAGCCTGTTCCAATGCTTAATCACTGTTTCAGTGAAGGAATTCTTCCTCATGTCCAACCTGAGCTGCCCTGGCATAGCTTGAGGCCCTTTCCTCTTGTCCTATTGCTTTTTGACTGGGAGAAGAAGCTAACCCCACCTTGCTATAAGAATCCTCTGTGGGTTTAATTTTAGTGCCAAAACAGAATATAAGTATCTGTTTTCACCAGTTCTTCACAAGTGCAGTTTACTGTACAAGTACAAGACAGCAGGAAATCAGACTTACAGTCTGTCATTATAATTGTGGTAGTTGATCATGTCCATTTACCATGATCATGTCCATTTTGTGTTTACAAAACAAAACAAACAAACAAGTCTCTGGAGCCACTAAAAAGAAGCAATAAAATAGACAAGTTTCTGTTCCATTCTATTGAATGTGTTACTGCCCCATGAACACTGTCCTTCTCCTCCAGCTTCTCTTGACACTTAGAATAATGCCCAGGTCTCATTTACACAGACACTGATTTATTAACAAGTCATACTGTGTCATATTAACAAGTCATGTGTTATGTCTTGTGACTGTCCACACATATGAGATAGCTGCATATAATATGCATGCATGCATAGACTCATCTAGCCATTCTCTTCATTAAATGAAACATTATTTTCTTATAATAAGGATGTGATTTTTCTCCTGAAAGCTGTTGAGAATTTAATTGGTCAGATCATGTAGTAAGTTGATAAGACAGTTGTACTTTTCTGGATAATTTAAGATATTACTTAAATGTAGTGATTGGAAATTATTACACTTCTTTAACACCTGATACCAGTTCTTAATGAAATTTTAAAAATAAGCTTGTTAATTTACATCACTGATAATTACATCCTCTTCTTTTCAGGGAAATGATGGGCAATCTAAATCTACCATTGGATCCAGTGACTGGGGAGAAAACAGTTCCTCACCTCAGCTTCCCAAAAGGAAAGACAGAAAAAGCCAGAATCAAGAGAATTCTGTGTCCAGACAACACTTTTCTAACCACTCTACAAAAGTCAAACAGACAGTAACAGCTTCCACAGGAGTCCTTCAAGATAATGGTCAGTGAGATAAACACTATTGTAGCATAGTGGCTTTTCATTAAACAAGTGAAGCAGTAGAATGACATGCTTGAATAGTTCTTCAATTGTCCATTTACTCTGGCTAACTGGAATTGCCAAAGTTCTTTCTTCTTAGGAAATGTATTTGTGCATATCCACTACATTCCTGGCTTCATTTACGGAGCACAAGATGCAGTGTATATTTTTAGTATACCTTGGAAATTAAGCTCGTACGGTTCTATCTTTATACCTTTGGTAAAGGAAAATAAAAATATATATTTTTGCCATTTCCCCCCTCTTCTGCCCTGCAATAAGATGAAGAAAAGGAGTTGGTGCTCTCAAAGGACCCCTTGCTGTCCCTAAAGATCCCTGATTACCTGCCTGGCTCTGTGTAACAAAACTACTAGACCCTGGGGGAAGAACACAAACAAAAACTCCAGTTAGATGGTAGCTGTTGAGGCTAATCCTACAGCAGAGCTGCTGGAGGCCCTTTCAGAATTTGCCCTTCTCTGTGCTGTCACAGCAGTGGCAGCAGTTTGCAACTTTAGGCATAAATATCCTCTTTGCAAAACGGTTTTTCTTATTTTATAGCGTGATAATCCCTTTCCCCCCATTTTTTAAAAGAGATACAATATATATAAATGTATAGCCTTATTTGATAGATAGACATATATAGGGAAATGTTTATGTTTCTGTATGTAGTGCTGTTGCTGCTCCACCTGCTGACAGAATTGGCTGGAAGCCACTAAATTTATTGAAGAAGTGACTGGTTGCTTCTCACTTCAGCTTTTCCATGCTTTGTGAGCCTTATGTACCTAGGAGAGGATAAGATGTTCAAGGCAGCATATTTTCTAGTTTGAGCTCAAGTGTATTTTTGGAGAAGCTCTTGGTTCTTTCTGTGATCCTCTGTTTTTTCTCCATATATGAAGACCTGTTAGTAAAAGTGAGAATGGGCCATGGAGTTGTGCTGCCAGGTGCAGTTCAATCTCTGCTCCCAGGTAAGAAGAAATAGGATGAAAGGAAATGGCCTCAATTTTCACCAGGGGAAGCATAGGTTGGATATTAGGAAAAATTTCTTCACAGAATGGGTTGTAAATCATTGAACCTGCTGTCCAGGGAGGTGGTGAAATTAAGTCCCTGGAAATATTCAAGAAAGTATGGACATGGCACTCTTGGAAAGGTTTAATGTGAACATGGTGGTGGTCCTGGGTTGACAGACTTGATGATCTTAAAGGTCTTTTCCAGCCTTAACTATTCTATGATTCTAACTCTTGAGAAATTAGTCTTTTCACTCCTGTCTCACTCAGTGGAGTGTGGGAGCTCCACTGTGGTCAGAACTTTGGTAGCTTGTAGGAAGTAGTTAAAATAAAAGGTACTACAGTGACTCCAAATGTTCACCTTCTGCAAAACTGCTGTCTTTTGTGCATTCTGTTCCGGTCACACCTCAAGATGGAGTGACCTGAAGCACAGGCCAGGCAGGCTGTAGCAGCTCTGAGCTGTGCTGCACTGTGATTATCCTCTTGCCCAGCCAACCCTCATTGTCAAAGACTGCCCTTGACAGAAAGCCAGCATTGAGGAAGTCCACATTATACCGTGGTCCTTGTCATTTATCCATCTGATATAATACAGAGGATAAACTTATCCCATCCAGATGTGTGAGGTGTAAAGTAGCTTTCCAACAAACCATCAGCACATTCCACCATCCTGTTTGCTTGGGGGATAATAAAGTTAACAATTTCATAATAATATGAAAAATTCCTTTGATACCCTCCCTTCTGTCCCAATCATTCTAGTCAGGAGTGATCCATTGTCACTTTGTGTGTAATGTGGAAAAGGAAGACTGGAAAAGCAATTACAGAAGCCCTGAGACAGTAGCTTTGGCATTAGCATACCTGCTTTTAGTGACAGCTAACAGTCTGAGTACCACTTCCATTCCTGTCAGTACATGATTAAAACCATTAGATGTTGAATAAATTTTCTGATTCTCTTCAGAAAACTTACTTGGAGTCTTTGTGGGCCTGAATGACCAAGTATTCCCATCAGCCAAACTTTTCCTTTAAATATACTGTAGCCTAAAGTATTTTCTTCATGCTTCGTGATTGCAAGGGTATGTGAGGTCCATTGTCTTTCCAGGTAAACATAAACAAACTTTGGCAGTATAACATAAATTACTTTGTCCATTAAATTCTGGTGCGTGGGCCCTATTTCTTTTAAAGCTTATGCCTAATTTCTCAGCATCCATTGGGGTGTTTACTGAAATTTGAGCTTCTCTATCAATCATTTATTTCAAAGGTTGTTTTCTAGGCCCTACTGGTAAGTAAATATGGGGCTTGTCCTTACCAGTCCATTGATAGGTCATAATGCACCAGGTGATAAAGCCTAAAGTTCTCCCAGCACTTAGTGAGGTTTTTTCTTTCCTCTCTCTTCCTCTCCTCAAAGGGTTGCAGATATGTTTTTTCTGTGAAAGCCTTTTGTTTTTCATGTTTCTCCCTTGCACTGTTTTCACTAAGTGTTCTCTTCTTGTTGCCTGAGAGCTGCATGGGGAGTGCCTAAAGCTACTGCAGTCCTCCACAACTCATTTTGCTCCAGGAGTGTTTTGATCCTTCTTTTATTCAGGCTGGGTATCTTTAAAAGTCTTCACCTGGCACTCAGGAAGTCTCTGCACTTCAGTTTTTGGGCCTCTCTCAAAGGCCCAAGTTTGTTCTCTGGGATGGTTTCCCAGCCCATTTCCCTTGCATGGTGCCATGAAAGAGTCTTGCCCAAGAAGATAGATCATCTTGGGGATCTTGTAACACTTCATTATGTATTACATCTCCTTTCATTTTCTCTTGTCACCCTACTGAAAACATTTTTAATGTTATCAGGGCTTCTTTCAATAGAAGTCTCAGCATATTAGGATCAACTTCTGGGGATATTGGGATATATCCATTTGAGTGTCTGTACATTGCCTTGTAACAGTGGTGAATATTTCACGAGATGAACGCATGGGTATGGAAGCTGGTCCTGCTCTTCCCATAACCTCTGTTCCTCCTGCCCTGGGGGACTCACTCTCAACAATTGCTCAGTCTCTGACTCCTCTGGTTTTCATACATATTTTTCCTGTATGTTTGCTACTTGCAGAGGGTCCCAGGGAGTAGTACTGACCATGTTTATTTCCTGACCTCCTTGAGGTCTTTTGAACACTTCAGTCTTAATTATGGATATAATTTTTAATTCTAGAACTGCTTCCTTTCTAGAAGAGGAGCTAAAGATTCATTCATTTCATTGGAGTCCCATCCTCCCTCACCATAATTTTCATCAGGGTTTCCCAAACACCACCATTTCAATCCTCTGGTGATACTATTAATTTTTGGATTTTTCTTACAGATGGGGGATTGGTGAGTTTAAATGTCAACTCTAATTTTTTTCCCCCAAGGTTTTTTGCTTTCCCTTGGATTCTTTTAACTGTTGTTTTGTTGTTTTGCCTGGTCATTTTGATACCATAAAGACAATTTTTCTTTCCTTTATTTACTATCTCACAAGCTCAAATTTCATAATTATTTCATAATTTGCTCTCTTTATTGCCATGCAGCCTTTAAGCATAACCTGCACAAATGTATTGTGCTTAGTATTAAAATGATGGAAGTGTGTTGAGACCTCAACAGAGCAAAGATTATTGGGGTTATTTTTTACATTTTAAGCATTCATTACAAGTTAATGTGAATCCTGGGCTAAAATGTGGAACAAGAATCTTTAATTTAGTTAAAAGGAAAGAAAGCCAACAGACAAACTGGACAAATCTTGTTAAAAACCAAAGAGCTGTTTAGTTTTTAACAAAAAAAACCCCGAAAAAACTCCATTGAAATTAATGTTTAAGGATGCTGGGCCCCTGGGTTTTAGAATACCAATACCTGTGCATGGCTTCTTCTGGCAGCGAGACATGCTGTGTGCATACATGTACTTATCCTGTGTCTTTATGTTTTCCTTACATGTCTGCTGAGGACCCATCATGCTTCCCTTTGTGTTTGGAAGGAATTTATGCTGCTGGGAGAGTATGTTGGGATCCAAAGGACAGGCAAAGAGTATGTTCCCTTTTTTGGGGGCACTGCTTCACCTGTTGTTTTCAGTACTTCTTCATACACTGAAGACCTGCATTAACATCCAGTCCAACCTGAAAACAGGCTGTGCAGGCTCTTCCCCTTCTCCTAATGTGTGTGTTTTTAGTGCTCTGAAAAGTCTCCCTGTCAGCAGAGAATCTCCCTTGCTCTGTCCTGTCACCTTGTCTCTCAGTGAGATGGACCCCTGCAGTGGTTGTGTGACTAGTGGGGTTGCTGATTAAAATACCTTAAAAGCTGGTAATCAGGTTGGTTTATTATTCAGATGACTGTGAAATTAGAAATTTAGTTTAGACTGGGCACTGAAGTATTGGATGCATGAAGTAGGTATGTAATTGCTGTCTTGAATAATGACATTTTCAGGTTCATTTTAGAGTGAGGAGTCTTATTCTGAAATGGAGATTTTCTCTTCATGGAAAACTAGAAACCACTTCCAGGAACACAGTGATAATGGTGGCTCCCAAGTACAGTTTTGATCAAGTGCACTGTCTATTCTGAAGGCTCATTGCAGTTCCTAAATTGTCTTTGCAGTTTTATTCCAAAACAGTCCTTCAAATTCAAAGGCTTAGGACTGAATAAGGGAAGCATTTATCACTATCTTAGGAATTTTATTTAATTTTAATTATAATTTTACTTTTTCCTGATTGACAGTGAAAAAGACTTTTGGCATTTTAGCTGGCTGCATTTAGCTGTCACTGATAAATGATTAATAAATTTTAATCTGAAACCAATAAAATGCACAGTGAGTTTACACATGCATAGTTTGGAGTGTATGGAAATAGATAAAAAGAAAATATTTATAGTAGTGAATGTATCCAGTGTTCTTTGCTGTCCTTTTCCCTTCTAATTTAGCATTATGTGGAATCTTCTCTTGAGTGCTAGACTGTTTGAAAGTAATTGTTTCCT